TCATTTGATGAAAGTTTAATACGTGATATTATGGACGGACTACGACCATCGATGCCTGATTCTGCACCAGAGGAATATAAGAAACTTGCCGAGCGGTGTTGTGATGCCGATCCTGATAAGCGTCCAATTACAACGATACTTTGCCATGATATTAAAAACATTATTAATGGGATGTCTTATGACAACAAGTGGAATGCCATTTATAATAATAGTGTAGAATAAATATTCTAGTGTCGTTTGCTACTTGCTATTATGTAATTGAGTTTGTACTGACACGGCTTCTTTGCCATAACGCGTGTGCGTTCAAACGTGGATGTTTTTTTAAATAACAATAAAGCAATGATAATTGATTATTTTAATTTTAGCGATTCACGGAAATGCTTTCTTCACTTATTAAAAAGTTTTTTTTTTGACATAATTATATAATTCGCTACAAAATAATAATAATTACGTAATTACATGTATCTGCTTATAACCAATTTTTGCTGACCAAAATTATTTATTATTTATTTTTCATTATTAAGTAAATTGCTTTATACTTCTATCTATATCGTCAAGATCTCTCCATAGTGCAGATCTTCTATTACTATGACCTGGAATAATTATCTAACTTTCAAAATCTTATACCTAAGGCTTTTGCCATTAGAGAAAAATTGACCCGTAGAACAGAGATGCAGAGCACGGTTTAGGTTTTGAGCTTTAAGCATTTGAAAAGTAAAAAACCAAAATTGCTTTGTGTGTAACGACAATAAATGCAGTAGTTCACACATAGCATTCACCATTCCTGACCGAAGTATGTTTTAATATTAACCAGATTTTTCGGCCCAAAAAATTGAAATGCAAGTCACGTTTATATACATATATATTTTTTATTTGAGGAAAACCTACTCTACTGGCTAAAGTATGTGTACAAAAAACAGTTTGTCATGCTCTCTATTTTGTTAATTTAGTGACCATTTATAGATGTACACGAGAATGTGATTGTAAGACAAGTAATTGGCGAAATATGCTGCCAAACACATGGGAGGAATAAAGAACCAAAAGATGTAAGTGATAAGTATGTGCTGTTTAATTTATTTTTAACGGGTTTTACTTTATTCGAACGACCTCCTTTTAGACGCGGTCTATTGCTCTATTAATCGAATGGTAAAGTTGCTGATGCTGAGTCAAAAATTTTTTCTCTTTATTTCACTTTGGTTGTCGTTCCAGTTGGGATAGATCATTTTATGATGTCTCAAACGTCACTTTTCCGACTTCTTATCAGCAAATGTTTTCGCCGTTCACGAGTTGAGACAATTAGTTGGTTGTGTATAAAACGACTTCTTTGTTCAGAATCCGAAGATGACAAGGATGGCATCGACAACGTTTCAGAGAACGAAAAGTCGAAATTGTGCGTTGTCAATCACATGACATATTGATATACCCAATAAATACATGAGGATTTGCATTTGATTCATCTCGTTATTATTATGACGTGACGCTTCCTGCATACATTTACTCGCTTGCAAGTTTACGTTACGTTCAATACTATCAAACTACCGTACAATTTCTTAAATTATCAGTGTTCCCTAATACTAATTTCTACTCTGAGCTAATCATATTGCATTAATGTTATACAATGACTCATACATATCCTGTTAATAGATTTGCTGATAACATAATTAATACACTCATTACAAGCCACCTGCAGATTAGGGAGTTCGAGCAATTATGTCTCAATGTTCCGACCAATCAAATAGAGCAACAAAGCGTTAACGTTTAGCATGTGGGTGGGAAAAATACTGGTATAAGAGTTTATGAGCAATCATGTAATAGTTATTATTGTACTTGGTAAATCCATATATCAGTTCATTGCGCTTCCTAAGCCATACGGAGTATCTTTTGAACTGATTATCGTCCTTATCGTACTTGTGTGTTGGAAGTGAGTATATTCTAGCAAACTCACTCACAAGTGTTGGTGTGCATTCTTCATCTCTTCCAAGCAATACCAGTATCATGTCGTTGTGAATAGCGTAGGGGTTGTTTGATTGTTTGTGAATAGCGTAGTGGACGTTGTCAATTTGAGTTGGCGTTATGTAGGTGATTTCCGAGCAAGGAATCCATTTAAGTTCGTATCCATATTTTAAAGAGGCCTGGACCAAGTTGTTAATTGCTGGATTATGCATATCTTTGAAATAACAACAGTTGGGTAGAAATTATTGTCCACAATTTACAAATTACTATTTATATTACTATTGGTGTGACAGTTAACACGTTAACTATCTTAGTCATTGGGATTGATTTTCGCATTTAGGAAGGACTGGTGTGTTATCTTTACATCTTTACGCTTGAAGTTTGCTAGCACATGTCATGCTTATGGGAACGTTTATAAGTGCTATTAAAAAGATAATTCGTTTTTCTTTATCATCCTTATTAACCTATTTATTTTTACGAATACGATTTAAAATTGTAAAAAACAAACTTGAGTGAATGACACGAGTAAAATCAACACGAACCAGCAGATTAGGCATCTGTACCTGCATGGAGGTTTCCCAGAAGCAGAATTCACTTTTTCGACTCGACAATTATTTACCTATATCCTAGTTGTTTCAAGCCGCTGATCCGTGAACACCAAGGAGGAGAATTAGACAATAAGCAGAAGGATACACTGATTAAAAGTCGGCCGCGTTTGCTAATGCCATTGGAAACAGCATGTACGAAATAGGCTTTGCAACCCACATCACACTATCACATCACCATCATCAATAGAAAACTGTTGCCATTAGATAATGTTATTATATCTTGATCCGCGAAAGAAATTCCATCGTGGATGGCAGATAGTGTGGTGCCTCGAAAGGAAAGAACCGAATCTATCTAAATTGTGTAAGAAGCCTGTTTCAAATATCGGGAATGACAATGCCTTGACAAGTAACTTGTTCAAGTATTTCTAATACTTCCCTTTACCTAATTCTATTTTGTTCTTTCTTCTATGTGCATCCGAATATCATCATTCTTGGGGACGCGTACAGTCTTTTCGTCACTCGACTGGTTCCCCGTTTTCCACGTCGATGCAGAAAATAACCCTGGACTAATGTATTTAACCCGTCGAGTCCTCAAATTCTTCAATGCGAACGATAAAAAGCGATTGTTTCTGTCTTTGCTATCTTTGATGAGATGGAAATGGGTACTTATTAAAAATGCGTTAGATCGAAGATATCTCTCTGGAAAAGACAAATTCTCAGTAATCGTTGCAAGTTCATATTAGATGGCAGAACACTTGTCATTGCGGAGGACGACAAAGATACCCGTTATACCAACACGTTATATTATATTACCCTTTACAATTTTCTGTATCCTTCGCAAGGCGTGTTGCTTCATATTCGTTGATCTACAATCATCTGCAAGGCAGAAGAACCTAAGGCGAATAAGAGCAGATCAATAATAAAAATGTGGAGAATGGGTGCCTGATTGCGGAAGGTGGATATGAACAATACCGAGTGCGGTGATATTAATGAATCAATGAATAGGAACAGGAACTTTAGATGATCAGTATTGAATAATACCGGAAGAAGAATACAGTTATTCCGCGTATCGGCGTTCGGTCTTTTGTACGAAAATATTAGGCTTATCGAAGAGATGGACTGAAAAGAGGTGGTAAGGAAATATTAGGTCTCTAATAAATTAGGTGCGTGATTGCGTTCACTGCATTAATATTAATGCATATTCGGTGAAATCAAATGTCTGGGTAGATGATTCACTTTAATATAATGGTAACATTCACGCATTCTCCTCTAAATTTCACAACTTAAAATAGAATTCCTGAAGAACTTACAAGGTGATTTGTAAAAACTACATCACCCGCGGAAATGTCTATACATATTTTAGGGATACAATAAGGGATTGGATGTGTTGGTTGACATACATCCACTAACCAATATTATCCACCTTTATAAATGACACAAAACCATTAACCAAAATTATTTAACTTTCATTATAGTTCTTGTTTGCCCATTTGGTGCTCTGTTAGCAATCTCCCCGTTCATTCGGTCTGTAAAAGCAATTCAGTGATTATTAAAATCATTTGGCCAGCCGAGTTTCACGATTAGGATGTGGGATGGAGGTGATTCTATCATCGAACGTATATAGTCGATATCTTGGCGACGACGATGATGCTTGCAACCGGCACTAGAAATATGAAGGAGAATTACATTACATAACCGCTTTGGGTGGTTAAAGTCTCAAAGATGCAAATCTATAGAAAGGATATAGGGAAAAGGAAAGATCGGATCGAACCATGGAGTCTTTGGACGTTCACGTTCCACGCTTATGCTTACCTTTGTGACTTTGATCTATTAGAAACATTCCCGACTATTCATGCGGAAATTGCAGCACAGACTGTGTATGAATGGTGAATCTCTCGATGACTCTATCCCTGTTACTATGCTACGGATTTATGAAAAAACTACTAACGTTAATGACGGAATTTTTCAAGTAGGATGTTGAAGAAGCATCCTTTCATAATGTACAGTATACGACAAGAATTTATTGAGTATTGTTAAGCTGGTTGACTTGCAAAGTTGGCGCAATTACAATCTCTATATAATTCTAAATCATGCCGATTCACGCAATTCGCTTTATAATGCCGTGTCTTTGTCAGTTGAGACATTGTGGACGCAATGAGTTTGATTCTACATTAGCAAATTCATTTGCTTTATAGATGAGGTAACCCTAAGCAATTGACCGTATCAATACATATTAAATACTCAATACAACTCATTAGTATAGTTACGGGAAACTGTTAATCACTCATTCAACTAAGTTGCCTGCAATGTGTTCACTCTATAGATCTCAGATGTTGTCGATTGTTTCTGAATTAACTGATTGAAGAAGAAAAAAAAAGAAACAACTCCAGCTTATTCAAGCCTGTCCAAATGATATTCACACGTACCCAAAATTGAATTAACAATATTATTGCAATTATAATACTTTTCATGTATTAATATCACTATCAATTGATATACCAAGTTCCCTCTCCATGAATCGAAGCATATAATTGTCCACGTGATCCATGGCCCTATCACTTTCGCCTGTGTCGTCTATATCAGTATTTGGTGATAATGTATCTGCCGACTGCCGTTGATCCGCATCCGCTACCCCTGCCTCCATGTCTGCTGGTGCGTCTGCTGGTCCGTCTGCCGGTGCATCTGCTGGTCCGTCTGCTGGCGCTTCGGTGGCCGAAGTCGTGGCTGCATTTTCAGCAGCGGAATTGCTGTTCTCAGCAAACTCAGTCAAGTCAATGTCCTCCTCAATGCGGGCTACCCTGGCAGCGTTAACATCTTTATCATCTTCTACCATAGCAAGACATTGCTCTAGGGCTGGACCTGCTAAAGTATCATCGCTTACATCTTCATCCCTTTTCGGTGCTATTACGTCCAGCAACTCACGCCATTTCATCTTCTCGAAATAGTCAGTTGTAAAATCACCTTCAGTCATAACTAATTTGTCCAGTTTACGTTTCTGCTTAGCTTTGAGAAGTACGTTTTCTTCTATAGTATGTTCACTGATGAATCGATATATGCTCACGTCGCGTGTTTGACCTATTCGGTGACACCTATGAACGCAAGAATATATAAGTATACTTTCATGTAATGGAGCCACATATATTGTACGCGATAACCAATTCTCTTCAATAACGATAACTTCATATATTACCTGTCTTGACACTGCCTGTCCATACACGGATTCCAATCCGAGTCGTATAATATCACCGTATCAGCACCAGTCAGGTTAATACCCAATCCTCCCGATCTCGTAGACAGAATAAATACCAATATTTTAGGATCATGGTTGAATCTCTCAGTTAGTAATTGTCGTTGCTCCACTTTAGTGGCACCATCAAGCCGAAGATATCTATGC